GATCTATCTAATGTTATAAATTTGGTGTCGGAATAAACCCCAACGATATGGCTTGTGTATGATTTGTTTTTTTGTCTCTATATGTCAATAAAATTGACTATAGATGTGAAATTTGAAAGAATGGTCCTGAAATTTTTAAAAGGGTTAACATGCATCACTGTTGGTACATGGCTGAAATCACATCACAATGCTGATTGAATGGGTAGTCCACAAATCAGATCACATTGTGGATGAGTATGTTTTTTGTTTGCTCCCAGTGAGTTTATGTGAAGTTGTCCATATAATGTGCATCTTCATTGTGCCAAAAGGAGTTCTTTTTTCTGTTTTCATTGAGATATTCAAGTTCAGATTTATTTTGTAGTGAAAATCAGATGTGCAATGGGGTATATCAATTTCTTTTGTCTGGTACATGTAATTGAAATTCATTCGTGCTACCTGTTGCATACTACTTAGAAGATGTGCTTCGTACTTCAGTAATTTAAAAGTCAGTAGCTTAAATTTAATTTAGATTATGACTCTTATCATGTTGTTGCTTTAATGCTTTATTGTAATTGCTTACAGAAATATTGTGGTTATTGATGATGAAATGGCTAAACCTGATGGTGCCAATCAGAATATTGTCAGAAGCTTTGAAGAGGCTGGATGGAGAAGTACACAAAATCGAAGTCAGAGCAAGTCGTTACAAAGAGAAAAGGAAAGAGACTCCCAGAGTCATTAAAATAGTAAATACTGGGATGGGAAACAAAACGGAATGTACCGGATTTTTAGCACGTACAACCATCAAACCAGAGACCAAAGCAAGGCTCGACAAAACAGAAAGTATCATACCGTCCTTCCCTTCAATCTATTACGACCAGCACGGTTGTTCGTATTTCCTTTTCGTTTTACAAGGCAAACTGCACTGACGTTACGGTCTTCTGAATACTTTGGTCTTCAACGAGTGGAAGGAAACCCCGCCCCGATTGAGATCGTCTCGAAGCTTCTCCAACGATACCCACTTCTCCATCTTAGTTGCTGGTATCTTAGGATATATGTAAGAATTGGAACTATGCTTTTACTATTATCAAATGGACGCATGCTTGGGCACCCACGCACATAGTGCGTCCCCAGCTAGTAATGTTTATATTCTTCTCCATAACACGACACACTTTAACAATCCAACATTATGTAGCATATATAAAAATTTGGTTGGATAGTCATTTTGTATAACCCTCTATGAGACAATGCTCTCCTACATCAATTTATATGTATGTTGCACCCTCTTTGACTCATAAATCAAGTCATATACATTTACAACAAGGGAAATTTGTACTAAATAAGATTAAAACATACGTCATTTTCTAATCTAGAACTTAAATTTTTATTCTTTAAATAGTACAGTACTTAATTAGTGTGAAAAATAATATCCAGTGATGGTGAACATTTACTTAAATAATGACTAATGAACAATGAATCTACATTAGAAAATAAAACATACAATCTTATAGTGATAACGTGATTATGTTTTAATCCTATATATATAAATTAACCTACACAAAATAGTATGTTTGTGCCTTTTGAGGGCATTTTATCTCTAACCCCCACATTTTACTTTACATAACAAGAGGGTCCTAAATTGCAAATTATTTTCTTAAAAGTTACGAGTAAAACCCATCATTTTATTTTTTAGGATTGTAGGAACCCTAAAACCTCTGCTCTCCGCCTCCCCTGCTCTTCGTCGACCATGGCAAAACCTTTGGACGAGGAAACCGTGAAGAAAGTTATTAGGCAGGTCTGTCACTGTTTTTCTCTCTCTACGTTTTTTCTTTCACATTTTTAACAATTTCATGCGATCTCTGTTTTTCTTTTTCCTTTTCCTTTTATTGATGTTGACATTTTTTCATCTGAGACATGTTATCTCCAGGTCGAGTTTTACTTCAGCGATAGCAATCTCCCCAGGGATTCTTTTCTCAAGAAAACAGTTGATGAAAGTGAAGATGGATGTATCCTAACTCCTAAATGTGTAATTGTGCATCGAAAAGCATATCGATATGCTCTTGCAATTTCCTACAGATGGGCCTAAATGGCTTACATGTTTTTTGAGTGTGAATGGAAATTGTTTTGTGCAGTTTAAGCCTAGGATTAATGTAGGATTAATGTTTGTCAAGCTTAACTGAAAATGTAGTGGTGAGTTTGGCTTTGATATGTTCATTTTCGAGGATGAGATCCCATCTGGGATTACAAGAAGCAAAACCGGAGGATATAACTGATGACACTGTGAAAGCTGTGGCTGATGCATTAAAGAGCTCTACATTTCTCAAGATTTCTGAGGATGGTAATCATTTTCATTATTATTCTAAAATCCTACTGGGTTGTAGTTTGTATTGTATTTCTCTTTGGCATCTTTGGCTTTCCTTTTGTATTTTCTAGGAAAGAAAATTGGTAGAGCTACAGAATTGCCGAAGCCCGAGGTTATTGACCAAGTAGATGGGAGGACTATTGCTGCATCTCCATTGGAGTATGACATCAAGCTTGAGGATGTAGAGTCATTTTTTAGCCAATATGCAAAGGTATCATAATCGACAATCTTAGATTTGAACGAGCAGTATTGGTACTTCAGACAGTTACAGAATCATTAATTATGAAATTATGGTGTCGTATGATTTGCATTAGGAATGCTTGATAATGTACCTCTTTCATGCACCCGGTTAATGATCAATTGAAAAAATACACTATGTTGATGAGTGGGAAAATATTTGTGATTGTTATTTAGCCGTTCCCACCTGGTTGGATAAGGTTTTGTTGTTGCTGTTATTTAGTTATTTTGATTCACAGGTTAACAGCGTAAGGCTACCTCGCCATGTTGCTGACAAAAGTCTATTTTGTGGCACTGCCCTCGTTGAATTTTCAAGCGAGGAAGATGCTCAAAGCATTTTGAAGCAAAGTTTGGTTTATGCAGGAGTGGAGTTAGAATTAAAAACAAAGTAAGTTTTGTTCATCATTATTGTTTTTGGATTCAACACACCAGTACAATGTTTATGATTCACAACTCCTAAGTTCTTTCACTGGTGAGCTATGTTCACTTAGACCCTTTTCTCTTTGGGTTGAATTTTTAAATTTCATCTCTTTCCAATTCCTTTTGTTTTTTTTTCAACTCCTTTGTCTTTCCACTTTCTTTCAATTGTTTCGAGTTTTTTTTCCAACTCTTTCTAGCAATTTTCAGTTTTTTCAACTCTAGCCATTGTCCGTGAATTGAAAATCATTTATGCATATTCTTCCTACCAATAATAATACTCCGTAATAATGATAACTCTCTCTATTCAAAATAAGTAACACTTATCTTTTTGATCTATTCCTAAAATAAAAATACACGGAGTATTATATCTTTTCTAGCAAGGAATATGTGTCCATCATATTTCCTTCAAATCAATTTCAATCTCACACTTTTCACCTTTCTTAAACTCCATGTCCGGTAAAAATGTACCTTTAATTTGGGACGGAGGGAGTATAATTTATCAATGCCAAGAAAAAACTAAAGCCCTTAAAACTAATTTTACAACTTGTACTATTAAAAAGTAGAAAACCTTATGATAGAAATATATAAATTTTGGCAGATACAATCCACCAGAGTATGAATGTAAAAAGTTTAGATTTAACATCGGCTTTTAGTTACATAAATTATAATTTAACCAAGCATATCATGTAATAGATTATTTTGCAGCGTTTTTTATCCCTCAAATATTTTGTAAATATGTTTGCTTTCTGTCTAAAAACACAGTTTCTTATATTTCCATAACAAAGTTTATTACTCAAATATTAAGAATCATGAATGTAACTTCTGCTTATCGAAGCTTTCCATTAAACTCCCCGTCCCTAAATGAATTTTAAAATTTTCCTTTCTCTCCCAAAATAAAATTACACCTATCTAGTTCACATTAATTCTCTCTTCAAAACAAGATCTAACTCCATATTTGTAATTATTTATTTTTCATAACTTTTCTACTACCTAATTTACCCATCTAACCTACTTATTTTACTCTTTTTTCACTTAAGACTTTGCATGTTTTACATTTTTATGGCATAGTAGAAAATTCAAACAACAATTCATCTTATGTTAAATCTTGTGTCAAGTCAAAATAGGAAGAAACTTATGAGATGAGGGAGTATTTTTTTTAATGGTTGTGCTGTGATGACTCACATTTGCATTTTCTTTGACCAGGAAGGACTTTGATGCAGTAAGAGCTCAGCTGGAGAAAGAAGTAGAGAATAATAATCTTAACAAAGGTTCTTCTTGTAAAAACCAACCCATTCCTGAAGAAAAGTAAGTAGAGTTCCCATAAAACACCCATTGTTATTACTGTCCACGCATAATCTTATGTTGAATATTGCAGCTATCCCAAGGGCCTGATTGTTGCTTTTAAGCTGAAGAAGATCTCCGAGGAGGGTATTGCAGGAACACTAAATGGTGATCACACACCAGCTGCTGACAATGTTGATGTGGCTGCTACTGCAGTGGTACAAACCACATCAGAGGATGACAAGGAACTGACTGCAGAAAAGGAGTCAAAGAATGAAGAAAATCTCAAGAATGATGTTGAAGGAGATGATGATAAGGAAATGAATGAAAAAAAAGAGTCAAACGATGAAGAAAAGCATGATAAGGGTGTTGGAGAACATCACAACACACCAGCGGTTAATGATTTAGGTGTTCAATCCGATGTTACAGAGGCACAAACTACATGCGAGGACAATGAGGTTGTCCAACGTGAAGACCTAAAGAGTGTGTTTCAGAAGTTTGGTACTGTAAAGGTACTGGTTTGATTTACTTTGTTTTAGTCATTATGTGATTTCGCCTTGCTCCATAAAAAGAGTCCCAATAATTTTGGTGAGTTGCAACTAGTGGAAATAATCAAACGTAGGTATATCTTCACGGTTCCCTTGACAGTGAGATTCAATGTCCTTGGATGACATTGGGCTCCAACGGTGCTCTGTTGGGCTTGAAAGTGGTTCTTACACTCCCTAACCCCCAACCTCTCCCCAAATCCCCCTCCCCAGCCCCTCCCTTGCCCTTCTCCATTTGTCGATTTGCTATAGTTGATGGGGGGTTGGAGAGTGGCATGAGGGTTTGGGGGGGACACATTCGGGGCCAACGGAGCACTGTAAGTACCCCAAATGGAGCTATGTCATGCCGTGACATTGGGGTTCAGTGTCAAGAGAACCCCACCTTAGTTATATATATTCAAATATGATATGTTAGTTTAACTAAATTTAACATAGTTAACACATTTGGCGTACTTTTTTATACGTGTATTTAAAAGACATTGAGATGATGTTTCTTTATATGGGACAAAATTATGTTGAGAAAGAGCACTCTTTCAATGGGACAGCGTATGAGATGATTAAAGTATAGTTTATTCTCTTATTCTTTAGGCAATCTGATAACTGTTCTTGTTTCACTTTTTGATAACTCAAACTGGCAGTGACCCTTGTTTTCTCAACCTAATTTTTTTTGGAGTCTCTTATATAGCTATATCCCTATAAATATTTAAATACTTGAATCAGTTAAGTTGATTTGAAATAGTCTTTCTATAATGGTTCACTTCTTGTGTTTAGTTTGTGGATTTTGAGAAGGGAGCAGATTCAGGATATATACGCTTTGATACAGCTGAGGAAGCTCAAAAGGCACGTGCTGCTGCTGTGCTTGCATCCGAAGGTATTTCGGTGAAGAACTGTATTGCCACCTTAGATCCTGTGACTGGTATGACTTATATGTCTTTTGCTTTCCTTTGTCAACTTCATCCCCTTTATTTGCCAAGTTAAAAAAATCTTCATTATATCTGGCTTGAAATTCAAGAATTGCTTCTTTTTTTAAAATAAGGTGATGCCGAAAAGGAATACTGGATTAAGCTTCGTGATGGTCAGCAAAGACGGAGAGGAGATTACAAGGGAAACAGAGGAAGGTAAGGGTACCCTTTGCTCTTATTATTTCCCTTAATCACTCGTTTAATATTTTGGTTCTTGTCTGAAAAGAGAACCCAATGTCAACAAAACCACGCTGATTTAATTTGACTGCTTAATGTATAATCAGGGGAGGAGGCAGATTCAGGGGCGGGAAGCACCCGCGTCACAGAGATGGCAATTCAGGTCGGCCGAACAAAGCTCAGAAGGTTGAAGCCTGACATATATATGTATGTGTGTGTACGATTCTGTCCTTTTTTCACACATAATATATACGTACATTTTTTTTACTTGTATTGTGACATTTATCAGTATTATTATTGTTATCAGGCAGTGGGTATAGCCCTCAAATTTTCCTATTCTCGTTAAGAATTCACAATCTTTCTTTGCTTTCTCACTTTCAATGGTATTTTTGGGTGTGAATTTATGAAATCTATGCGTGTTATCTATCACTTTTAGTCTGAATGGTATTCAAGAATGGATAAATTGTACATCTAAATGTGAAAGTAAAGATAGTAATATGAAGACATGAATGTTTGCGTCAAAACTGAACTGTTAAATCATGTTTGAAGTCCTTAGGGCCTTGAGAGAAAATTTTGCAATAGCAAAGCTATGTTTAAAAATATTTTTTTTAAAAAAAATGTATACGGAGTGTTAAAATAAAAAAAGGTACTCCACATTAAAAACATGACTTATTTTTTTAAGAATGATTAAAAAAGAATTTACCTACTCCGTATATAGTATTAAAACATACGGAGTAATAATTTTACCAATATGATACCATATGTCCTAACTTATACGGAGTATGTCCTAACCTTTAATGTAGTACGGAGTACCATTGTTCAATGTTAATTGGACATTGTTCAAATAAAATTTTATCACGACTGCACGTTATTCTTCCCATTGGACATTGTTCAAATTTTATTTGGAGAATACAAAGTTTAAGAACTACATTGAGAAAGCACATACTCTCTCCGGTTCTAAAAATCTTTCCTTTTTGACTCTTTTTAGTCAAATAGTGACACTCTTTGATCATAAATTAAACATATTCTAAATAAATAAATGATATTAAAATTTGATATATGAAAACTATATTCTAAGATGAACCCAAATATACTGAATTTATATTATAATTCAATATATTTTTCTTATAATTTGTGATCAAAGTGTGCCGCTGTTTGACTAAAAAAAATCAAAATAGGAAAGGTTTTTAGGACCGGAGAGAGTATATTTTAGTACTATATTGTGAAAATCTCACATGAAAAAATTTACCATTAATTATGTCACATCTGTTATATATCTTGTTGTGTGAACCAAAAGTTGAGACTCATTTTTTAATGTTACTGACTCTATTACAAACTTGATACTCGTTTTATTAATCAAACATTGGAAACTTACGGCGTGCATTATCTGTATCTGTAGAGGAGTGCTAGGAGGACTTTAAGGGTCCGTTTGGTATACGGAATTGATGGAATTGGAATTGAATTAGAATTGAAATTCCATGGGATTCAATCCCATAGAATTGAATTCTATCAATTTCAATTCATTTTTTACGCTATCAATTCCAAATTCACATAATTTTTGTGCTACCAAACACCAGAATCGAAATTAAATTCCTCAATTCCAACTTCATAGTTTGAATTCCGTGTACCATACGTGGCATAAGATTTTGACACCAAATGTATACCAAGGCGGTAAAAGAAGAGTGCCCCCACTTTTTTGTCTGGTCTCCCATCCTCTCTTTTCACTTGCATTTTTGGGTATTTTTCTATGGTGGTGGTGTGCTGGTGTTTGCTTATTACCGATAAGCAAGAGTCTAGCTGGCAACATGAAAAAAAAACAACTTTTGCATGCAATGGCTAAGCCAAATTGAAGTGTTAATTCTCGTGGGCAATGTTAGGAAAACTCCAAAATTTTTACAATTCACATCGCGTATTATGCATTTACTACACAACATGGTCTCTTTGGTAGGTTGACCAAAAGTTTTACACAACGTTTGAATGGAGAGAAAATGGAGAAAAAGAAAATTGAGAGAGGAAGCACAATTCCCAATGCAATTTTTTTTCACTATGTTTGGTTCAAAGAAATTGAAAAAAAAAAGAAAATAATTTTTTCTCAATTTCGTCACCAAAATGGAAGGAATTTTGCCTTCCCATTTTTTCCTTCTACTTTTGATTTCTTTTCTTCTCTAGCTAAACATGAAAAATTGTTTTTCCGCTCATTTCTTTTCTCTTTCAAATTCCTTGAACCAAACATAATACGGAGTATTTGTTTGAACGAGGAAGAAGAAAAGACATGAATTAAAAGGACCCACATAAATAAAATTCTCTACACATATGGCCAGAAAATGTCACGAAGAAGCCTTTCACTCTTTTTTTTCTTTTCTTTTATTTTTTCTCTTTTTACTTTTCTTTTTCAACCTGACCTTTCCTTTTCATTCTCTGTTCATCTTCATCTAGTCAACGACCTATCCGTTCCCTCTTTTTTTCTAATCTTTTATTTTTTCTCTTTTTACTTTTCTTTTGATATATTCCCTACGTCCCTAAATATTTGCCACACTAATATTCCCAAGATAAAATATTAAGTTTTTTCAATTCATTTTATTTACATATTGGTATAGAAATAAAAAATAAAATTTACATATCAAAAAATTATATAAAAAGTTCTTCGAAATAAGAGGTGTCAAGAATATTTTATTTTATCGAATAACCAATGAAAACGTAGAAATAAACAAAAGTTCCCGCGACTGCTCAAAACGCAAATATTGTAAATATTTTGGGACGGAGGGAGTACTTCACTATTCAAAGATCACGAGAGTTTTAGTTTATTTTCACATTTTCATTAATTATTTGATAAAATAAATATTTTTGTCACGTATTTTTTTGTACAATTTTTGACATAATTTTTAAACATGTAAGTTTTATATTCTTTTATTTCTATAAAAAATTTTCAAATAAAATATAATAAAAAAAATCAAAATTTTTCTTCGTTTAACGTAATGTTGCTATCTTTTTGAGACGGTGAGAGTATGATTTTCTTTCCATCTCCACATTTCTTCTCTTCATTTTCTTTGTTCTCAAATCTATGAATTGAAGTGATTAAAAATCAAACTTAGGAATTGAAGCAATCAAAAATCAAATCTCATATTCAAATCTTTGAAATCGGGGNGCCAGGCGTTCACAATTTTATCTATCCGAGCAACCTTAACTCCCCCCCTCTGGTGACTCGAACTCATGAAGTCTTAAGTTTGGCATTACCTCATTTTTAAAAAGTCGATGTGGGGCTCGAAACAGAAGACGCCTGATCTTTTGACACTGACCACCAATGTCATAATATGACACCCATCTATTTTTGACATTTTATGGCATTCCATTCGACCCTGAAGCGGATTGCCCCTCCAACCCCCTAACTCGGGGTCGAATGAAACACCATAAGATGACCAAATGGACAAGGGTGTTATATTACGACACCCAACGGCCAACCCCCGTGTCAAAAGAACCTGGGTGAAAATACCAAGTACGAACGCTTAACAGAGTTGCATCTTTGCTAGCTTACCAACAACTAGAGGGAGATCAAAGAGGCGATAGAGTGAGACAGCAGAAGTCAACAAAGCATGCTAATACTTACAGAGTTATCAAAATTTTGCCTTGTCGTGTCCCAAATGAAGAGAACAAAACACACAATTGGAACACTAGATTTAGTTAAAACTGACTTTGAAGAATGGCAGGGGCAGCCTTATCCCATGGCATACTTGTGCGTCCAGCTACGAGCAATGTGCTCGTATTTTGTCTTGTCAGCCTTGTACATTTGAGCAATTTCTGGCACGAGCGGATCATCAGGATTTGGATCTGTCAGAAGAGAGCAGATTGACAACAGAACCTGAAAAAAAGTATTGCAATTCAGAATTAGGGCCCGCAGTTTGGTTGTAGTAATACACTATGAAGACAAACACATCACCAAATAAGAGTGGAAAATATGGAAGCAATTAGGAGAGAAAATGTGTGGGATTTTTTTAAATGCGCAACTTATTTTTACACAAATTAGTTTGAAATTATTTTGAAACATTTTGCATAGTAAATCAAAATTGATTTTCCTTCGTGTTGGACAAGTTAGAACGAAACATTTAAAAAGAAATCTCAATGGTTCCAAATGTTCAAACATAGGCTGCGTCAAGGAAGAACTCGTGTAACTTCCGAAGAAAAAGCAAGAGTTCAAAGAAAATAAGAAATGAAGAACGCCAATCAATTATGGGGCAAAGTCCATAGCATTACTGCAAAATGCTTTTCTTAAAAATAAATAAGTGAAATGAATACAGACAGCAGGTTTAATGAGTGAATCTATACTTAAGAGATAAAGTTCAACGTTAAGTCAACACAGAATGAAAAAGGTGTTAAAACCTTTGTTATGGTCAGTGCTGGACTCCACTGTTCTTTGAGAATATCTAGGCAGATACTTCCATTGCTGTTGATGTTTGGGTGAAAGACCTTTGTTCTAAAAACAACCTGCCACAATAGAACGAGAGCATTTAATTAATTCAATTAACTTTGAAACAAGTTAGAGAACCCCGTACCTTTACTATTTGTTATTCTTCTTTTCCCTTGGAATATTGGTCTTCATTAGTAGTAAAAAATAATAATGAATGTTTACAGCTCACCAAATACCCATCCAAAAGTCACATGCAGTCTAAAAGAAACTAGGGAAAAAAATAAATAATTTGACAGGTACTAAACCTTTGGTGGCTTAAAAGGGTAGTCAGGCGGAAATTGGATGGCCACCATGAATACACCCCCGGAATATGGGCTATCAGATGGTCCCATGATAGTTGCTTGCCATTGAAACATATCTTGGGCAATGGGGCCTGCAACAAATGAAACATGCAGATCTTCAGCACAGATGAAGACAGTGTCAAGACAGATGTTCTTACCGGTTTCTCACAGAAGTGCAAGTATGTGAATAGTGATCAAGGGCAAGGTTCTTGTGCTAAAAATGAGCTTGCAGCTCCTGCACCTTGAGGCCAATTTCACATTTCAAGCCTTGCCTCCTACATCTTTAGATATTTATCATCTTACTTAAACCCTAATTTTAACAAAGATCTCAACAATCAGGGTTCCATAAGTCATGGAAGACACTAAGACCTACTTATACAGTTATAGCATAATGCTTACAAATAACTAGAGTATAATACTTCCATTGTAGTGATCAGTGCTCCTGTACTTGAGTTATAGCTGTCAAGGAACCAACTCAACCAAAAGCTCAAGCTTGTGGTTGTGGCCCAGAAACAATTATTTATATTCTAGCACGTCCCCTCACGTGCAGGCATAGTCTTTTTCAAGCCTTGCACGTGAAACCTTAATTATTACTCCGTATTATTTTTTTGATTTGGGTGGCGCTGAGTTTCAAAACCGTGACCTCTTAGTCAACGAGGCTCCGATATCATGTCTAGGAACCAACTCAACCAAAAGCTCAAGCTTGTGGTTGTGGCCCAAGAATAATTATTTATATTCTAAAAATAGCCTATAGGCATC